CCAAAGTTAACTATTAGACATGATTTTCATTTCGTGCATCCTTCTGTGTTACAATACATACAACTTATTTATTGGGCCATCACAACACAACAGTCAAAGAATTTCAGGGACAACGCCCAGATACAGTTCACTACATGTTTTGGCCACTAGTGGCCATCCTCAGGTGAATACACTTCAACAAACATACACCACTGAACTGCAGCACATAAAGTCCGATACAATATCGTAAATCATTTAAGACAATTATAATAAGAATATAAAATATAGGTTATTCAAAACCAATAAAAGTCTTATATAAGAACAAAATTAAAGCCTGATTGATGTTTTATAACATCAAATCAGTCGTTGGTTCCACTTCACATACGCATCCGTCTACAAATAGCAAATTATGACGTTTCATTATAAAATTGTAAGGGAGGCTCAACAATTAATCTGAAAAAAATATATAATAAAAATAGTATTAGGTTTGTTAAGCTAGTATTGGTCTTAATATTGAAATTGAAGTATAAAGTACGTAAATTACTTAATTTCAATATTAAGACCAATATTAGCTTAACAAACCTAATACTATTTTTATTATATATTTTTTTCAGATTAATTGTTGAGCCTCCCTTACAATTTTATAATGAAACGTCATAATTTGCTATTTGTAGACGGATGCGTATGTGAAGTGGAACCAACGACTGATTTGATGTTATAAAACATCAATCAGGCTTTAATTTTGTTCTTATATAAGACTTTTATTGGTTTTGAATAACCTATATTTTATATTCTTATTATAATTGTCTTAAATGATTTACGATATTGTATCGGACTTTATGTGCTGCAGTTCAGTGGTGTATGTTTGTTGAAGTGTATTCACCTGAGGATGGCCACTAGTGGCCAAAACATGTAGTGAACTGTATCTGGGCGTTGTCCCTGAAATTCTTTGACTGTTGTGTTGTGATGGCCCAATAAATAAGTTGTATGTATTGTAACACAGAAGGATGCACGAAATGAAAATCATGTCTAATAGTTAACTTTGGTATTATCGCATTAAAACCTTTGGGTTTCATTACCAGCGAGATTTTTCTTAGCACATCAGTTAGCTGGAAGCAAAGCTGAGTTAATTTTAACAAAGATAATATAATTTACTATGAATACATTTAATCTATGACTACATTTAATGCATACCAATTTGTTTCTTCATAGAACTTCCTCCACAACACAGTGTCATTATTATTAAATAATAAATAACTGAATTGAATTATTATTTTGATGTTGTGTTAGCACACAAATAAGAAAGAATTAATTGATTTACTGCTACTGTTATTATTAACATATACATGTGTATGTACATGCATTGTCCTTTCTTATCACATAATGGCATAACCACTGGAATTGTACTTATTTTATTTTTCTCCCCTGTTAATGCTAACTTTAATTTTTCTTGGAATTATTATTAATTTATTAACATTATATAGACTGTCATATTTTGTATTTTGTTCTTTAATTATCTGTGTGTATTTCTATGTACTTGTACTAACTTTGTAATTGGCCTCTATGTTGTTAAATTTGCACATAAATAAACACAAATTGAACTGAATTGAATCAAACTGAACCAAATCTCATGAAAGTCCATTCAGGCTTTTAGAGATTACCAGCCACTTCTGGCTCTAATTGGGTGAACTAATAAATAAAATATATATATTGTTATGTGTTGGGTGTGTCACGCAACAAATAACTTCACGTGGGTCTCGGATTTAGTGACTCTTTTTTGGACACTCACACTTATACACCATACAATTATTATCGCTTTTGGTATCACGTGACTTCTGCAACGTCTCGACTAGGTTCCAACTGTGTTGTATGAAGGCTAATTAGCTCTGTGGTTCTTGGCTTATGTAGGTGTTCTGCAGACCGGATACGAGACACCATTCGCCAAGGTTCGATCTTACATGTTTGGCAATCTGTTGCTTTGGGAACACTCTTTATACACTGACAACGAGTTTCGTCTCATCCGTTGTTACTCAACGGCAATTCATCGCTACAATTTGTCGCTGTGGGATCTCCACAATTTCCATTGTAGCCTTTGCGCGGCGATGGACGTAAGATAACTCGTCACAATATATATATATATATACACACACACACACACACACGAGGGTCATACTGAAAGTCATGAGCAACAATTTTTTGTAAAGTAACATGCTTTATTATTGACAAACCAAATACACCACCTCACTCTACAGACCTTTCTTTATTTTTCCACATAATCGCCACTTCTTTGTACACATTTCTCCCAGCGTTCTGGGAGTTTGAAAATTCCCCTGCTGTAAAATTCCGTTCCAGCCATCCAAAGACACTGACACACTGCTTTCTGAATTGCCTCCCTTGTCTCAAAACGTTGTCCATGCAGCTGATCCTTCACAAATCTGAAAAGATGGTAGTCAGAGGGTGCCAGGGTACAGGAGGTGTGTGGAAGAACTTCCCACCCCATCTTTGCAATTGCTTCCAATGTGAGGCGAGCGGTGTGGGGGTGAGCGTTGTCATGCAGGATGATATGTTTCATCCCAGACGTTTATCGACGGAGCTTGTGCAGCGTCTGGACATAATGAGCAGCATTGATGGTTTGCCAAGGTTCCAGGAATTTGGCCAGAATAAACCCCTCTGCATCCCAGAAGACTGTGCCCATCACCTTCGCAGCTGATGGCACTGTCTTTGGCTTCTTTTTTGATGGAGAATGCAAATGGTGCCATTCCATACTCTGCTGTTTCGTTTCAGGCTCGAAATGGTGAAACCAGCTTTCGTCATCTGTCACAATACAGAGCAAAAAATCATCGCCTTCATGTAGATATCTCTGCAGCAGTTCTGAGGTGATGGCTTTTTGCTGACCTTTGTGGTCTTCGGTCAGTAACTGTGGGACCCAACAAGCACAAACTTTCCTATAGCTCAAGCTTTCAATCATCTCCTGTACTGCACTGTGCCCTATTCCGAGTTTTCGGGCTATTGTGTCCACAATCACATGCCTGTCATCTTGAATGATCTCATCCACTCTTTCCTTCTTACGTTCAGTTGAGGCTGTTCTAGGACGACCGCTCCGAGGCTCATCTTCGATGCTGGTCTTCCCATCTTTAAAATGTTTCACCCATCCTCGAACACTGCTCGCACCCATGTACACACTTCCATAAGCATGCTGAAGTCTCTGGTAAATTTCTGCTGCAGGGATTTCCTCTTTCACAAGAAATTCGATGACGGCACGCTGACGAAACAAAATATTTTTGTCGGCCATTTTGTTAGGAGTGATACTGGTCACGTGATTGATGTCACAAGACACTCAAGGTTAACACAACATCTGGTTCCACCTACCACCATACTCTCTTTCGTCTGCTGTTCCTGGGTTGCATGCAAAAAAAAGTTGCTCATGACTATCGGTACGACCTACATATATTACTATAGCAACAAATTTAAATGTCTGGAAATCATATCACTACATCCATCTGACACTGAGTCATTAAGGATATAAACTAAACTGGGGAAAAATGTGGAGCAGTTTCCTGCTTCCATGTCTGCATTGGTCCTGAGTAGTGCTCTTTTCTCACAATGTCATGTTCACTGTACCTATGATCTGGACTGGATTCTATCATCTGTCCCTCTTTTCTGTTTCTAGGAGGCTATCATTCATGTCACCCTGCCAATATGAGTTGGCTATTCCACTTTACCTGGAAGATGTAGCCTGCAAGTTCCTCAAAAATATTAGTATACATCTAGAAGGCTACATGGTGTAACAATCCAGAAGTCTGCAACCTGAATTTTGTGGCAACAGTTCAAATGAAAGCCAGTCTTTATTAGACACTTGGTCATCATAAATATTATATTAAGCGACAAGATGACACACATAGTAATTATGACTGGAGCTAGTCTTATAAGAGGACTATTTCAGATGTACCTTGTATAAAGGAAGACAGATGACGTCTATAAACCCAACTTGCATTTGTGGTAGTTCATCCTTCCGTTCTCGATCCATCATAGCCTGAAAATATAACCACGAAAATAACCAGCTAAATAATGCTGCATTTCAGCATACAGTTGCAGTGCATTCTTTCCATTAATTTATTTCCATCTTCCATGCAACTTATACTAGAAGTTTTAAAATTAAAAATTTAATTTTTAATTTTTTAAACTCTTAATTCTTTCACTTTATTTATGCTTTGGTGTTCATCTATCTCAGTCCACTAATTTTTATCTTCTTGTGGTGTATACTTTATAAGTGATGTTGCGATAATAGTTTTAAAAGAAAAATATCTGAAACTACAACTACACTTTTTTTTTCTAAATTCGCTTAGTGGGGGGTGGAGTCCAACTGGGTCCGCTCAGTACGGTAGCCACTAATTAGCCTATTGTAGCCTGCCCTGGGTCATTATGATGATGGAGAATTTGGTGGAATGAAGATTGGCAGGGGAAACGGAAGTACTCGTCAAAAACCTTCCCCAGCGCCACTCTGTCCACCACAAATCCCACTTGACCAGACCCAGGATCGAACCTGGGCCGCCGTGGTGGGAAGCTAGCGACTAACTGCTTGAGCTATGGTGCGGCCTACAACTACATTTCGGCAAATCATGGCCCAGCACACACTATAGCTGAATTAAAACCTCATATTTTAATAATATTTTCAAAATAAAGAAAAAGTTTCATGTTATTTGTAAATCTTTGTCTGTTCTTTGTTCTATCTTATTACATTCAATTCATATTCAAACTTTAAATGTATGTTGCAAATTCTATATAGTACAAAAGTTCTTTCCAACCCACTAACTAAAGCACAGTGGTAGCTATGTTTACCACTTGCTGTAACATTTAAACATACTGCAATTTTCCCACAGAGTGTATTAAGTATTTTGTATAATTTTCAGAATAAACACTGATTATTTCCCTAAACAGCATTAAGTGGCTGATCTTTCAAACAGAGGTGTAGTACCCTTTCTTTGGGGTAGGAACAACATTTTTAAATATTATGTATATGAACTAGACCGCCTCTGTGGTCTAGTGGTCAGAATTCCTGGCTACAGATCCAGAGGTTCTGGGTTCGAGTCCTGGCGCTGTCAGATTTTCTGAGGAGTACTGGGTCTGGAACAGGGTCCACTCCGCCTCATCAGGATGATTGAGGAGCTATTTCAAGGAAATAACGGCTCCAGTCTAGAAAACCGAAATTAACGGCCGTGGGGATCCATTGCGCTGACCACATGACACCCTCTATCCATAAACGTTGGCACTAACTTTGCCCACAAACGGCGGTTGCTCAGTCAGTATAGTTGGCTTGCGGACTAAAACCACGGAGTTAGTTATGTATATGAACTTCAGGTTTTAAAAAGTCAAATCTGAAGTATATATTATAACACTTACATATACTTCTCAGGGACTGTTTCCTTAACCTTCCAATTCTCCACATTCCAGCAAATCCCCTATATTATCACTTCATAAGCTCCTTATTCGTCTTTTTCATTTCATGGTAGGCAATCAAGACTGTTCCCCACTTAAGACATGTGACTACTCAGATATATTACAGGTACTACTACTACTACTACTACTACTACAACACTGTGGCCTGTAGTCCATAAGTGAACTATACCGACTGAGCGACCGCTGCTTATAGGCGAAGTTAGTGCCAGCTTTTGTGGATAGAGAACATTACAGACATAAACCAGCTGGAAACTATAAAAAATTCCTCCCCTTGTAAAATCAGAATATATGAATACCAACTAAAGCTATAATCTCTTCTGAGAATTTCTCATTTGTGGCTTTGAATATTTTTCTGGCACCAAAATTCATGTGGCCTCACTTCATGCATCTGAAGTTCCATAAGGCATATCATAAGTTGTACAAAAAGGAAGGAAGTTAGTGTAAGCAGGCATCTCACATAAGAAACAATATTAATGAAACAGTATCATTATTATTTCCATAAAAGGTAAATTTGTCCCTGTGCTTAACTAGTTAAGCACTATGCCATGAAGGCATATGAGGGAATGGATGTATGGATGTACATTTTTGACCTCGACCCTAGCTGGAGTCAGTGGTCAGCTTCAAGCCTCTGCTGCTTTATCTACAGGGAAAGAACCCCCAGTACCCATTGGATAGGAGGCTAGGTAGGTCCCAGAGCTGGTCCCGATGACGTGGAGAAGAGAAAATTCTTTCCCCCACCAGGACTCCAACTCCGGCCCCTTGGTCATTCAGTCTGTATGTAGCCTGTTGCTATACCAACTATGCTATACAGGCTCACAAGTTTGCTTATTATATTGCTACCATGATAAGGCTGGTCATTATTTTTTTTCTACTCCTAGAAATTACTTCTAAGATGTTCACCAACCATGGTTTAGTTATGGCATTCATAGGCCCTGGTCCTCACAAACAAAACGAATATGATCCTTCATTTTAGCAACAAACTTCTGCAGTGAACTGTTTTCTTACCACTGGTTGTTGGTTCAATTGCAACTTCTCCAAGTCTCCTTGGTCAAAGAATTCATCAGCTACAAGCTTGGCCACCTTATGTTGCACCTCCCAGGGTTTGGCTATGGCGCTCACATCGCATGCTGTCATTATCATTCCGCACAACACTGTCACAAATAGGACAGCATACTTACATGACTATTATTTTAAAACTATGAAATAAGTAGAAATATGAAGAGTATTGCCTTGTAGGACATTACACTGTGTAGTCCCATAGAATTCACTGCCTCTATCTTCAGGTTTGTGGATCACTCTGCTTCAGTTAATTTTCAATGCTGAAGAAGGAGACAGTATGTTCCTCTGAAATGTCAATCAACTTATGCCACACTACATGGCATAACATCCCAGAAAACAGTTACTACTGTGAGAATTGGGAATTTCACAAGTACAAACAGTGAAATAAAACATAACTAAGCCAATGGTATTCTTGTGTAAGCAAAGTCAAAAGAGAAAAGAAAAACAGCAAGACAGCTGAGAGTCCTAGAGTTACATTTTTCCTCAACTACAGACTCAACTGCATTACCCATTTACTGGCATATGAAGGCAGCGCCATAGCTCAGGCAGTTAGTTGCTGGCTTCCCACTACGGCGCCAGGGGTTCGAGCCCACATCAAGTCATGTGGGATTTGTGGTGCACAAAGTGGCATTCCCCTCGTTGGTGTCTCCACCTTATCGTGGTGAGGGTGTTTGAGTATGCCAAGGACCCTGAGAGCTATACCAGCGGTAGCGTAGCTACTGGCAGGGCCTCCCTTGCTGGACAGGTCAAAGGGTAGGCATCAGACGAAGAGAGACACCGAAAACTGATGCCGGAAGCAGCGTCATCAGCGGCGACTTGAAGCACAGAGAAAATGATGCTCGAGATGGTTCAAGTTCGTATAGCAACAGGCGTGACCAGAGTGGTTTGAACGGCTGTTGTACTGCGATGTGGAAAGCAAATGGAAAAACTACCACATTATCACTTTTCCTGGATAGTCTCTTTCCAAAAACAGAAGATCGCATTAAGTGGAGAAACTGTTTTGGAAGAGGCTGTGGACCTGTCATCTGACAGATTACTGATGAATGAATGAATGAAAGTGGCATTGAGACAGGTTCTCTCCAAGTACTTTGATTTCCCCTGTCAATTCTCATTCCACTGACTGCTACACATTCATCATCATCTATCATCTGGGGCTGGTACAATACGCCAATTAGTGGCTGATGTACCAAGTGGACTCAATCTCACCCCCCCCCCCAAATAAACTACTAGCCTATGGTACTTTTCTGAATGACAGTCATATTTTAAACAATAGTAAGGGTTGCTTAAAGCACAATAGATCACTGTAGGTCACGGTGCAAGGGCCAAGAAGGCCCACCCCCTTATACATTCATTCAATTGTTGCTTACACCTCCCCCATCATTCATATCTGTCTGTATCCTTAGTAAGATATCCAATGACTTGTTATTCTTAGAAAGTTCATGATATTTTGATGGAGAAGGTCTTCAACACTGTGCTTATAATAAGACTGCAAAATTGGCAGAAACATAGAATTCATTCTTTTGAAAGCAGGAACTGCCTTCAAAACACCTAGAAGTATGATGGCTGACATTGTCTATGAATATAGTAGTGACTGAAAGCAAATTGGATCAACAAGAGGGAACTAATGCCACATCCAGCAGTGAAGCAGTGTAGTGAAAAGTGCTTTTCGGATATAAGGCAACCTCCCAGTGTCTCTAACCTTCCTCCTACATGCATGGCTCTGGGGGCACCTTTCATTAGGTTCCTTTAGCTACAACATTCAATAGGGTCTATTGTAGTGGTTCCCAAAGATTTTCAGAAAACTTCCAGCTCCGCTAAGGACCAGTCTAGACATATCCAGGGACCCCTCCAAAAAGATTCATGGATTTTCTCATCCTGCATTGTTATCATATGGGCTTACAGATAAACTGTCTTGGAATCTATCAGTCTTTGACAGGAAACACTAGGCTGGTTTCTGGATTTCTGACTGGTCACTGTACACTGAGATACAACCTACATACTGTGGACCTCTTGGCAACACCATGCACAGGAAATGTAGGCAGAAGAAATAATCTCCCTACCTTACTTTGCTGATGCCCAGCTTTGGATTAGAAAAAGAACAGAGATCTTTGGCTATGCATGGTTAGAGTTTGATACAGGACACCATGAGTGACACAATGAATAGAGTTCTGGCTACAGCATTACATTCATGGCTTTCTGTAGGGCCCCAGCCAGGCAGTGAATACACAATGGACCACACAGTACTTGAGGCAATATAAGATGGCCCCTCCAAAATAATACAAATACAAACACAATACAAGCAACAAAAAGTCTAGTTTCATTTAGTTGCTACAATTTTCATACAGGGATTTATAAATTAGCAGTTGTGCTATTCAGTCAACTCTTTGTGGCTGTAGTCTGAACCAGTACAGATTCTCATGGATGTGAAAGTTGTCAGAAATAATCCAAAAGGGTCAAACATGTGCCATATTTGTTATTTTGGTATATAAAGAAATTATTCACCTAATGATGTTTTTTTTTTACATTTAAAAACATAAACAAAACTGCCACGTCTTCTAAGGATGAACTGTCTCACATTTTCTGGAAAAGAGGCAGATGAAGACCAAGAACTTTTATAAGAACAATCGAATAAAAGACGGCAAGTAACAGAATGAAATTTAAAAATTAGCTCATAAGGGCATGATAACATCACCTTGTGTATACCCCATGCTTCCCTTTGGAGCAAAGGGAATGAGAACTGTTACTCCCACTTCAAAGTTATCACGTTTAAATGTTTGTACCAGTGACTATGAGGGATTAAAAACTGTGGAGGTCTTCAATGATATGACGTTCTTTAAAAGTTTCATAAGGGCCGTTAATATTTGCTGGTCGTGAGTGTATGTACAAGCACGTGCACCCTACAGTTGCTCGCCGTTCAAAGCCACTGCATTTCGATACCCATTAAACGGGACCGAACGGGACCGCTCGTTCTTGTACATCGATTAGTTCATCTCGCAGCGGACTATTTAACGACCTCTCAAGCTAATACTCAGTGGGCTCAATGATAATCACGTTCTTGTTGATTCGTTCAGTATACCGATTAAGTACTGCGTTGCTAATTATCTCCTTCGAACTAACCTAATTGGTAGGACACGCCCAAAAAAAGTCAAGGATCATACAAAGCACACGAATCACATGAAGTGGGTCGCGGGAGGAGCAGCATCTTTGGGAAAACAAGATTAAAACTAATAAAAGGGTTATAATAAACGTGAAACCATCATCTGCAGATTGATTCTTTGCTTCCTTCTTTTATTTTTATTTTTTAATTTATGATGGACACAAGGTTGCGTAGTTGGTCGAGGAAATCTGCTACAAGCCAGAAGGGTCACGGGTTCTGTTCTTGATGAGGTCACTGAATTTTTCAATTGAGCTCATCCTTCCAGCCGCATTATGGCCTTGGGATCGACTCAAACTCTTAACAGAAATGGGGACCAGGAATCTTCATGAGGGTACAGGGTGGCTGGTGCGTAAGGCTCTCAATCTCACCGCCATCTGTGAGCCGATATTCTAGAAAATGCGGGAGCTTCGACGTCTCACAACCCTATGGGCCTCCAATGCCTGTTACAGGGATAGCTTTACCTTCTTTTTATTAATTTCTTTCGATATCAACTCCATGGTTAGATTAAGATGATATATTGATCAAAATAGAAATGTTTTAAGTTAAATTTGGACTACCTGAAAGCAGAATGAGGCCCCCTGAGTCTCGCAGCCCGAAAGTGGCGTTGAGGACAATATCAGAATCTAATACGGAGCGAATTTACATAAATACATAATGAATATCTTCATGATCTGTCCTCTTCACCTAGAAACACTTCCATGAATAAGTTACGGGGGCGAAAATAAAATTTTGCAGTGGTTATATATCAGCAATAAATGAGCTTGAATACCGAACTGGATATTCAAATTCGCAAAGAATCCATCTGAAAAACGTGTGTGCACCAAACTGAAGTACACCTTTCCGCCCCAACACACGTATAGTATAGATGTTGAATGAAAACATTAAAGAGTTCTGTCAACATATACGCGTACTTGGGTCTTGATATTGTCTATTACTGCTTCTGAGCTACTGACAGGGTCAACACTCAGCTAAAATTCTCTTCTACATTACCAAGTATCAGAAAATCTAACAACATGTATTACAATGGTCACTGCTTCGTATCTGTAATGAAAGAAGTCATCTAGTTCGATACACCGATCAGGTTTATGTAGCGGCAGTGCGGTACACTCGTATCCGGTTTGAATCTCTGCGGTTAACCTGGGTTGAAGTTAATCGTCCTTTGCTCTAGTCTCTCAAGGTGAATCCTGGAATAGTGCCTTCAAATAAACTATGAGTCCCTCCACTCATCTTCACCTTCCACCGCAAATAAAGTGTACAGTTCGAACGTTGTCTTTAAAAAACCCAAAATTTAGCGAGAAATTGCACGACTTACATTCTTTCTTTCCCTCGCTCTGCCAATCAAATTCTCCTTCGTCCACCAGTTTCATAAAACTGTCTTTTTTCTTGAAATACATGGCCAAGTCCGTCGAGATGATGGCATTTTCCACCGTTTTCATCACATTCCTGTAGTCCTCTGTTGACAGAGACTGCAAAAAGCAATAAGATGTCCATTTAGCCACATTTCAGGGCACTGTACTAAGTGTAGATAGTGACACTCTCACTTACTAATTTCTCATAAGCGCCATGTTGATGACATTTTCTGGCATGGCGTTTATTCCAAAGGGTCATAATGATAATATTCGAAACTCGATAATTGTGTATTGTAACTGAAACCAAATGACGTGAATATAGGCGCCTGTCATATGTCATAAGGCCTACCTGGAATATGTTGTTTCCCTCACTGTTGAGGATCATGACACACTGATCAAAGTGATGATGTTCCATGGTACTGGTGGAGTATAATATGGCAAGCGGTGACTCAGTTTTGGTTTGAAAGGCGTTGTTGGTGCCACGATGGTCCAAATCGTGACATAGGCATGCCACAAGCAGACCAAGAATCTGAAAAAATCCACGCTTCATTTAAAATAACTGTCAAACAGGAAGCTATAGGAAGGATTCTGGCTGGCTGCTTCCCTTAGAATGTTTCAGTGTATATAGCGGAATATAAATTTATATTCCGTGTGGAGGCTGGTTAGAATATATCTACCGTATCCCTGCGAGTCGTAAAAGGCGACGAAAAGTGAACCCCGTGACTTGGAGTGTAACTGGGCCACCCTTTCACTGGAGGGCATAGGTTTCTAGTGTTTTATTTTCTTAGAGTGGAGTGAGACTGAGCAACTTGGTACATCGGCCACTAACTGGCATATTGTACCATCCCGGTTGATAGGCGATGAATGTGGAATAGTCGATGGAATGAAAATTTTGCAGGGGAAAGGAGAAAACCTGCCCCAGTGCCATTTTGCCACCACAAATCTCCCATGACCTGACCTGGGCTCGAGCCCGGGCTACCACGGTGGGAAGCCGGCGACTAACCTCATGAGCTATGGCGCGGCCTCACTGGAGGATATAATTCAGAGACTTGGTCCTCCGGATTGGTGGTTAAATGCAAGGCTGACGACCTTGCTCTGTAAAAAAAATATTATTGCTGCGAAATCCAAAGAAGCGAAAACCGGAAGGTCTGAGACACGAATCTGGCAGAATTTTCTAAGGAAGGCTATGGCTCAAAGAGGTCTGTTTTACCAACTATGATGATGAAGATGATTACGATGATGATTATGATAAAGTTACACAGTTTAGATTTTAATTTCTGTGTATGATTTTCGCTAGTATAAATTTGGACTATAGTAAATTCGTCAAATCCAAAATTTTCCCAACTTCACTAAGTATATGTGTGACTCTTTAACACATAAAAATTTTTTATATAAAATTCATTGGTATCTTTATGGTCGATTAGCATAAAATTTCGCATTTTTGAACACAAAGTATGTTTATTTGTTTCGTATGATTCTCAGGAAAAACTGTGACTATATTCCCAAACACTATTAACCGGTTGGTGTTTGTAATGGAGACGCAGTATTTTTTCCCTGAAGTGGCAACTGAATGTTTAAATATTTAAACGAGAGAGTTAGTTCAATTAAAATACTCCATGTTCTGGAACTAGGAAATAAATGTTGCCTCCCCAAATATTACAAGCCCATGTCTCTTCTCTGAACACACATCGTTTGCGTCTCTTTATTTCCCCCATACCACCGTTGAACTAAGGTCTACGGTTGAGAAAGCGTCGTCAGAATTCAAGAATCAGACAAACACATTCTAGCTATCTGCAACTCTTCATTCTTCCACTTCTCGGTTCTGGAACCCTTGTGGTCCTACCAAGCTCATGCATGACACCAATAGGTTCTCCAACGAGCTACCTCTTTCATCAGAAACTTAGCCATGAAGTTACAGCGTTGCTTACATAGATCAGCTGTTAAATTTGATTAACCTGACGATGGAGCGACGATTCTCAGCTCACCTCTAGGTCGGTCATGAAGCGTTCCATCTTGCCGGTTTTGAGCATGGCAAACATAGTTTGAGCGACATTGAGAGCGTGTCTCCAGTTGTGGTACTTGACGGGTCGATAGTTCTTCTTGACGCTCAGAACCCAACGGCACAACACCTGCAAGTTCAACATCTCGTTACTCTGAGGACAGGAGACAACAGACCCAGAACTTAGTGACTTGTGCCCTGAATGCAGAACATAATAATTATGGAGAATGGAACATTAAATAATTCCTAGAAGGAAAACCTAATTCAGTCGAGACACAGCTAAACATCTGAAGCACGAGAAGAAAAGTAATTTGGTAAGTGAGAAATAGTTTATTGTGTTGTGTGTGGG